TTCGTCAAACACTCCGTTCTTGCATCAGATTGAGCGATTCCTTAGAAATTGCATTCGCTGAAACTGTGGCCTGACTTTGACCCGCCATATGTCAGCGACCCCACAAGGTACTTCTAAATTTTTATACCAAGCGATCTGCTATTCAGTTGCCTACAGATGCAAAATTTGGCGCGGCTATGCCGCGTCGTTCGGAAACCATTCCGGAAAAACCTTCGGGGGTGGGTCAATTTGACCCCCGCCCAAGCGCGTGTTAAAACGGACTCCTTTGATTTTTCAAAAGCTTATGTAAAATATAAGTATCGATATCCTCACCAGTCGAGAACAAAAGGTGAACTGTCAAGACCAACTACGGGACCCATAGCAAGTGAAAGTCACGAATATCGATCCGAATATGAATCTGAGCCTACTACCAGCTCTGCGAGCCCATGCTAAGTGATCTCCAAAAGGCGCCAATTAAATGAAGATAAGTCTTCGAATGCATAATGCATAATGAATGAACGAATAAATGACTTCCAGGACTCTCTGCGAGAAAATTATCTCGATTTTGTATCTGACGCTTAAGGATTAGCCCATCAAAGCTGGGGGAAGTTGGTGTCGCACTGCTTCCCTCTCCCAGGCTTAAAGCTGGGGGGACCAGTGCCTCTCCTGCTCCCCCCCCCGTTCCCGCAGCCATGCAAGCCCACGCACCTGTGCAGGCCCCCCCCCCCAAGGCACGACCTCTCCTGGTTTTGGCCAAGACGAGTTATGCTCGAGGTCGTTTTGGAAAACGAGACATTAGCCGTTTCCCGGTCGATCGTTGCGCAGCAAGGGCTTGGACAATATTGACGGAGTTCAGCGATTTGTAGGCGGTTGGTTTGCAAGCACATTGCGTCAGCGTTAGTTCCAGGTCCCAATTTGCTTTTAATGCCGAGATCTGACATCAATTCTTACGTATGGATCCGTGACAAAACAAGCGGATCCATCAGTTCCCGCTAAAGAATGCTCACCCAGTTGTACGCATGGACTTACACGTTTACCAATTTGCTTGTATGTTCTCTGACGAAGGATGCATCGGCTCCATATCGCTGCAGCAGATTGCAGTGTTGAAGGAAAGACACGCCCACTGTGCGGGGAGCCTGCAAATGTCTGAGACATATACAGCTCAGCGTTTTGTGTTTCTCGTCGCCGAAGCTGCATAAAGCCCTGATGGACGGCCTCAAAGACAACGGCTCCTGGAATGCGCAGGAGGTAGAAGTTAAGCCATCAGCGGCGTACTCGTACTGGATCTTGCAAGACCGAGCACGAGTTGCAACATTTGCTGAATATTTTACTGGCCCTATCACGACAGCTGAAGTCAAAGTTTCACGACGCTAATGGCAGTGGCAGTTGATGCGTTGATAAAAAATGCAGCGAATATCGGACGAGCCGTTGTCCGGTGGCAACCAGCTGATCCGGGTGTCATCAACGGTGTCACCCTGTGGTTTTCGTCCGGTTCGTGACGGTGTCACCCGGTGCTTCCCGTCCTGTCCGTGACGGTGTCGTCCGGTGCCTCCCGTCCGGTCCGAGGCGGTGTCGTCCGGTGCCTCCCGTCCTGTCCGAGGCGTGGTCACCCGATGCTTCGCGTCCGGTCCATGGTGGTGTCACCCTGTGCTTTCCGTGTGGTCTGAGGCGGTGTCACCCAGTGCTTACCATCATTTACACGGTGGTGCTACCCAGTCCTTCCCATCCGGTCCGTGGTAGTGTCACCCGGTGCTTCCTATCTGGTCCACGGTGATGTCACCCGGTGCTTACCGTCCGGTCTGTGGTGGCGTTGCCCGTTACTTCCCGTCCGGCCCGGGGCGGTGTCGTCCGGTGCTTCCCATCCTGTCCGAGGCGTTCTCACCCGATGCTTCCTGTCCGGTCGATGGTGGTGTCACCCTATGGTTTCCGTGTGGTCCGAGGCGGTGTCACCCGGTGCTTCCCATCATTTACACGGTGGTGTCACCCGGTGTTTCCTGTCCGGTCCGTTGAAGTGTCACCTGGTGCTTCTCACCTATTCCACGGTGGTGTTACCCGGCGCTTCCCGTGCGGTCCGGGGCGGTGTCAGCCGGTGCTTCCCGTGCGGTCCGGTGCGGTGTCAGCCGGTGCTTCCCGTCCGGTCCGGGGCGTTGTCAGCCGGTGCTTCCCACCCTGTACGTGGTGGTGTCGTCGGCGCTCTGCCCCCGACGTGTCTGTGTGTGTATCCGACGCGCTCGGTCTGTGTGTTTTCCTATCAGTATGCTATGGATCGCAGGGGGGTGCGGCTGGCCGCCATCGGAGCCGCCCAGGGCAGAGCGGCCGACAGCTGATATTGCCGGACGCCCGGAGGAGAACGGACGACAGCTGATAGTCCCGGCCACCCACCCACGGCTCGTGGAAAGCGGTCTGAGAAGACGACGAAGATGAGACGCATCACCAGCCGAAAACTGAGCACTAGATGAGACGCACTACCCAACCGAAAGCTGGGCACTAGATGAGACGCACTACCCAAGCCAAAGCTGGGCACTAGGTGATTCGAAAAGTGGGTTTAATTGCACAGCTGTGTTTTTTCTTTTGGGGAACATTTGTAACGTGTTCCATTTGCCAGCGTGTGTTTCAACATTGCTGCGCTTTTCAACACCACATTTCGCGTTTTTTAGCACCCGACATTTTACAACCAAATGATAAAGCCCCAGACACTCGAAGGAGGGCATCAAGCGGGTGATAGTGTCCTGGACGCCAAGAGGAGAACACTCAGCAGGTGGTAGAGTTTCGGACACCCAGAGGAGAACACCCAGCAGTTGACAGTCCCAGCCTCTCGAAAAGCCTTTTACGTCACACGCAACAGGATTCCTGAGATGTCCACTCTATGCACTTCATGCTGCGCACACGAACAATGCGTCAGTGTTCCTTCCTGCGCAGTCCACCATATGAATCGCATTAGCGCCAATTAACGTATGACATTTCACTGCAGAAGACGTATGAAAAGAATATCCGTAATGCTTGAACTATCAAACTTTTCTTCCCTCCGTGGTAGTCAGGTTATTGTGTTAGCATGCTTTCGATCCCGGTGAATATAGGAGCCAATCGCACAAACCCTTCACGACACTGACCCGAGGCAATCTTTTCAGAGCTTGAAGCTCTTCTTCTTTTGACGTGTTTCTTCTGCTCAGACGACGCCTTGCGGACCAGTTCCCCTGAAGTACTGGCATTCTCCCGAAGTTGTGTCGGGAAAGTTACAACAGCCAATCCCAGCAAACAAGCGAAAAATATTAGTTAGTCGCGGTCGATATGCTCCGAAGCGGTGAGTCTCATCTACCGATGAGCTTCGACCAACGAGTCTCGCCGATCTACCTATAAGCTTCGAGCGGTGAGTCTGATCTACCGGTAAGCTTCGAGCGGTTAGTCTTGCCGATCTAATGGTAAGCTTTGGCCGGCTATTCCTGCCGATCTACCGGTTAGCTCCGAGCGGTGAGTCTCGCCGGTCTACTGGCATGCTTTGAGCGGCGAGTCTCGCCGATCTACCGGTGAGCTCCGAGCGGTGAGTCTCGCCGATCTACTGGCATGCCTTGAGCGGCGAGTCTCGCCGATCTACCGGTAAGCTTTGAGCGGTGAGTCTCGCCGATCTACTGGTAAGCTTTTACTGGCGATTCTCGCCGATCTACCGGTGAGCTCCGAACGGTGAGTCTCGCCGATCTAGACTGGTGTTCATGGTTACACATTCTTATGTCGTTGAATTTCTACAAATAATTTTAGTTTTAGCCAGAAATTAATTCAAAGCAAATAAATGATACCACAGTCGGATTTCGATAATTGAGATGGTAAGGAGACATTCTTGCTCGGACTGATGAGCTGAAACCCCTATACACCTTAATATAAAAGGCCTAAGTTGATTAAGAAGCCGCCTTTTGCACTACCTAAACGCCACGCTTTCCTCGCTGCATTTGTTGCAAGTCCCGGGCATGAGGCTTGCGCTTTGCCCTTACCGTCTTTCCGTGCTCACTACCCACGCTGCACTTCTACGTCTCTGAAGAAAAATAAGATTTTTAGCTTAGGAACATCAGAACCTGTCCTTAAGCCTATAACAGCAGAAGCTGTCTTAAGACAACTTTGGCATCTGGAGATGGTGCTGCGTACTTCACAATGCAGATCTTTGAAAGATGTTTTCTGTATGGAATAAATGACTCCAGATTCAGTACTCGGCATCAGAAGCAGAACAAGCTAAGCATGTGTTCAGCAGCACTGCATCGCCGGACGCGGCAAGTGTGTTCGTTTTTCGCAATCATGTAGGTAACACTTTTTCGAGCCTCTCCTCGTCGTCAACATTCCTCCAATGTGGAGAACCGAGCAAAGGCACGGAATGCTTCGTAGCGGGCAGTGCTCCGTTCGTGATGACACGAGAAGTATTCCTGCGTCATCGTCTCATTCCTAGCCGTCCAGTTGGTGCCCACCGTTGACGTAGCGTTCAACTGTCCCTTACGGACATAAAGAGGTGTCTGAAAATGCCGATGAGTGTACGGTAAAACGCTTTAATACCGCCTAGAACGCCGGTTTGGCATGGGGAGGAGGGCGGTCAGGCGCACTTCCAACTGGACGTGAGTTTTCGCTTCTCGTTTCATTCACCTGAACAAAGTTACAGGGCGGCAGGCAGTTTTTGTTGGTCACTGGACGTTCTAACAAAAGCTGAATTGCACATGGCTGGGTGATGGATGACAAATCATGTACAGAACATTTCTGCAGGTTTCGAGACATTGCTGACTGATTCACAAGCATAACATCTGACATGACATAACAACTGCATGAGGTTGCATGGGGCCACGCCTTGCCATCGTGTTTATACGGGCATACCTCCAGGTCACCGCAGCATTACAATTGATATTTCCTGAAGTCGGCCGCGAGCCCGACTGCAGCGTCCCCAATCGCAGTGTCGCTCGGGATTTCGGAGGAGGCCTGTCCGTGTAGGCGGCGCGCCTCATCTGGTCTACCCCAATAAGGTCTCCCAATAACCACCGCCGTCGCCACGGCTAACGCACGAGCAGCAGCCATTTGTCTTGGCTGTCTGTGGTGGCCGGATCAGGCGCGGTCGAGCACCGGCGTCTCGGTGGCCGACAGTCATCAGCACGCGCGCCGTCGCCGAGCCGCCGGCAAATGGAAGCCTGGGAACGGCCGCTGACCGGCGGCCGCTGCTCGCACGCTCAAAGTCTGACGGCGTCTGCCCTGGGCCGGCACTCCGCCCCCGGCCGGCTAGCTCTCATGGTACGAGAAATAGTCGTTGGTTGCGGAGAAGCGCGGGCACTTGCGCCGCGTGGGCAGCGTGCCCCCGCCCGTCGACTGGTGGCGGCTCTTCAGGATGGGCCGCAGAGTTTTCGGCTGCGCGCCGGGCCGGCCGGCCGCCGGCGGCAACTCGGGCGCCGGCTCGTCGGGCGGCTCGACGACCGACAGGCGGCGCGCGCCCGAGCGCCGCCGGCGGCCGATCGAGTCACAGTTGCGCTGCATCGCCCTCAGCTGCTGCTGCAGCGTGCGGTACTCCTGCAGGTAGCGATCCAGCTGCACGGCGTGGTACGTGTACGGGTCGCAGGAGGGCCGCCGGTACTTGTACCGCTGGCAGTAGTCGGACGTGTAGCCGTCCGGCTCGTCGCCGTCGGCCAGCACGGGCGAGCTAGGCAGGCTGGGGTGCCGCCGCCGCGCCGGCACCGTCTGCGACCCCGGCAGGAGGCGCCGGGCCGGTCGCGGCGCCCACGGCAGGTCGGCGGGCGGAGTCAGCAGCGGTAGGCGGCGGCCGATCCCCGGGGCCGCCGATGCAGAACTCGGCAGTGACCCAGATAGCCGGGAAAGCTCACTGTCTGGCGACAGCTCAGCCGGCGGCGCGGCCGGCGACCGAAGCAGCGTGGAGAAGCTGGCGGCGCCTGAGACGGGCCCACCCAGCGGCGCGTAGTCAAGCCACCGCGTGATGGAGAATGGCTCACTGCGGCTGTCATCGCGCGCCGCCGCCGCCGCCGCCGCCGCCGCCGCCGGCCGCTGCACGTCCCGCCGCTCATTGTGACCACCTTTCGGGTCGCCGTAAAGTCGGGCGGGCATCGATCGCGACACCGGCCTCGTTTGGCCGCCGCAGTCGGGCCGGCCGGTGGCCGGGACGGACGTCGTTTCCCGACGCCGGCTGGGCCGCGCCGGACTGCTGACGGCCGCCGCCGCCGTCGCCGCCGCGCCGCTGACGTCACCGACGGCGGCCGGCTCCCGCCGGCTCAGAGTCGGCTGAGTCGGAGTCGGCTGAGTCAGGGCCGGCTCGGTCAGTGGGACGCGCGAGTATTCGCGGAGCCGCGACGACGGGATCTTGTTGGCGTGGGGCGCGGGCGCGGGACGAGGCGCGCCCCGGCCGGCGCCGCGGCTTGCTGCCGCCTGTTTCTCGCCGACGTGGTTCGCAACGGCGTCCTTGTGGTTCATCTCCAGCGCCGGCGGCTCGGCGGCCGGCGGCAGCCGCTGCCGCCAGCGGGCGCAAAGCAGACAGGCGGCGGCGCTGGCGGCCAGCGTGACGGCCAGGCCGGCTGACAGCAGGCCCACCAGCAGGCCGCCGTCCAGCCGCAGCGTCACGTGCGTGTCGGCCCGGCGGCCCGACACCGTCACCGTCACCGGGCGCGTGACGCGGCCGGCCGCGTTGTGCGCGGCGCACACGTACTGGCCGGCCGTCTCCTCGCGCACGCTCACGATCAGCATGATGCTGGTCTTCTCCTCGCCGCCGTGGTGGAACAGGTGGAAGCGCGTCCCGGCTGGCTGCACCAGCGAGCCGTTGGTGACCTCGCGGCCACGCCACAGCCAGCGCACGGTCGCCGGCGGCGAGGCGCTCACCGAGCACGATAGGGTCACGTTGTCGCCGTCCCAGGCGGTGAGGGCGCGCGCGCTCTCGCGGATGGTCGGCAGGCACGCCAGCTGGCTGAGCGGCACGGCGTCCAGCGAGCGCCGGTGCAGGCGCGCCGGCTCGGCGCAGCTCGGCGGCTGCGCATGCGACGGGTTCACCTGCAGCAGCCACTGCTTCAGGTAGCGCGCGCGGCAGTCGCACCACCACGGGTTGGCGTGCAGGTGCAGCTCGCGGATACTGTTGAGCGGCATGAGCGAGCCGGGCGGCAGCGCCGTCAGCCGGTTGCCGTCCAGCTTCAGCCACTGCAGCCTGACGAGGCCGCGCAGCGCGTCCACGTGCAGGTCGGCGATGGCGCAGTCGCTCATCTCCAGCCGGAAGAGGTTCGGCACGGCTGCGAACGCGGCGGCTGGCAGGCGGGCGATCGGGTTGCCGCTGAGCTTGAGCTCGCGCAGGGCGCCGGTCTGCACAAGCGCGTCGGAGGGCACGCGGCGCAGCGCGTTGCCGCTCAGGTCCAGCTCCACCAGGTTGATGAGGTCGGCGAAGGCACGCGCGTCCACGTGGCCGATCCGACAGCCGGCCAGGTAGAGCCGCTGCAGGTTGACCAGGCCGCGGCGCGCGAACTCGTCGGCGGTGAGCAGCTGCAGCGGGTTGCCGTCCAGCTGCAGCACCTGCGTGCCGCCGTCCAGCCCGGCCGGCAGCTCCGTCAGCGAGCCGTTGGCACACAGCACCGCCTCCTTGCCGTCACGCCACCTACACTCACAGATGGAGGCCGGGCAGTCGGCGGCGGCGGCGGCGGTCAGCAGGAGCAGCAGCAGTGCCGGCGGCGGTGGGCGGCGGGCGGCCATAACTCGGGATCATGCTGGGGCCTGCCTGAGCCGGGCCGGCCGGCCGCGGCTCCAGCGCATGAAGGGCGCCGCCGCGCCGGGCCCACAGATCTCCGCACAGCACGCTGCAGGCGCGCAGGGCTGCACGGCACCGCGCTGTTCTGGACTCCGCCGACAGCACGCCTGTCAGGCGGGCGCAGCCGGTGGTACGGTCATCAGCTCGGTCCGAGGGCTACCACCTGCGCGCAGAGCACCAAACAACGATCAGTCAACAGACGACGAGAGGTGACAACAAGCCAGGGTCAGGCTGCAATCAGTTCCCTCGTGTGCTAGCGCCAGGGGTTCAGCGAGAGTTTTGGTGAGGGGGAAACACAGGGTTGACTAAGTCCCCTGATGGCGAATGCTCAAGAAAAAAAAAACTGGATATGATCACTTGATTTCGGGAAAGCACTCTGTTCTTCGTTTCATGTCTGTTGTACCTTCTTTTACTGAAACAGAGGCCAGAAGCCACAGGAAAATGCAATTATGTTTGTTATCAAGTAAAGAAAGTAAAGGCACCAGGTCTTCAGTGACTGCACGAAATAAGTCCCCGGCACCATTAAATTAATCAGTTGATCAGTTAACTAATGTCATTAATCAATTAGCATGTATGTATGTACTTCAGCTGAAGTTGCTAGCGTAAAATATCATTTTATTTCCAGAGGCGCTTTTGTGATTTGATTTTCACTCCTCTGATTTTTCCCGTCTAATTTTCCACTCAGCCCCATAGCACAACACCAGCTCTGGGACACGATGACTGCCCTGTGGCCTACCATGGACACTTAACCAGAAATTATGCATGTTTGTACAGCGGGGCGAATACGATAGAACTTACTATGCATAGCACCGCGCTGATAGTAGTGCGGAAAAGAGTCGCCGTAATGCAGCTTAGCTTCTTTGCGCTTTCAGACTTAAGTGTATCTATGCGTCAAATTACCTCATTTAACTTGTGCAATGATATCTAGCTGTGACGAAATGATAATTTACTCTGATACTCATGCAACAGCGAGAAGCATCTAATTCCTCAAGTCCAATCCAATTAAGCAGACTTCTGCAATGACGATCACGACGCGATGTACCGTGCCGCCAGCCAGTGGTCAGCGATCTGGTCAAGTCCTTAAGACACCACCCATCCGGCAGCACGCACAGCCTCTGGCTCGCAGAGCGTGCGGGCCACTGAAGGCCTTGCACAACTCGGAGTGTGCGTTACTCAAATTGGAGCACCCACAGGGGCCGTCGCTATTCGCGACGTGTGGAGTTGGCAGTAACGGCATGGGCGAATGCAGTCGCACCCGCCAAAATTAGGACGAGACTCAAGGCTACTCTCATACGGTCTTTTGACTACACCATCCTCGACGACGACGGCTATCTGGCCGCCGAAGTGGCCACACCGGAGGTCCCTGCCGCGGCTGGCGATGAGAAAGCCGCCGGACCCGCTGGCGGCGGTGAAGAGGGTGACGTCACGGAGGGGCCGGTGACTTCCTGCGAGGACGGCACCGGCGGGAGGCTGCTGATCGAGCAGCGAGTTCTGGTATTCCTGGCACGGCCCAGACGAGATAATGCAGATGATCGAGCAGCGAAGTCTGGAACTTCTGACGTGGTTCAGCCCCTCGACTGGCCACGTCAGGTCTTCGTCTTTTGACGCCGGCAAAAGGTCTTCAGAGCAGATTGTAGGTTACCCTGAGGCAGGTGTTGACACCGGAAACAAGTGCAGGAGGACCAGCGGCGAGGTTCGCCACATTAATTTAACACTAGAGGTAGGTAGACCAAGGAAGAAAAAGGCGCAAGAGGATATAATGATAGAATAGACAGAAGACAGGGAAAAGAGACATCAGCAGCGCCAAGGCATGTCAAGAGGAGCAGAAACCGCAGAAGAAGAGGCAGAAAGACAAGAGAGGTAATGAGAACCGAGCGAAAAAAGAACCTCATGCAAAAAAGGAAAAGGCGAGAAAGTCCTTCGAAATGTTTTCGGAATACAGTCAGATGCAGTGATCTCGCAAAACCTCTAGCCCCAGATCTATCTCTGTTTAAGCCTTGATTCTTAAACCCAGTTTGGATCGGGTACCACTCTTTCAAATGATAATATACCAATGGGTGATATGGGGAGCCGGCCATCCAACGCGGTCTGGACCTTGTTTGCTCCACGTGGAGTCAAGGGATCGGACGCCCAGTACCAGCGATTGCCATCACTCATATCATCTATTTTTATCCAATTCCTCCTTTAAAGTAGCTGCTTTCTACCAACTTGCTACCCATGCCTATTTCGGCTGCCCCAGATTTCCCCATCTTAGTTATTCTAACGGGTTAAAAGTCCTTAGCAATGCCGCTCTTTATTCCCGTAACATTTTGTAGGCGACAGACAATTGCATTGCTTCCCAGGCACTTGGTTCTTGCCTGTCCAGTTTAATCACATGTGAGATATTACCTAATAAACATTGGGGACACTTTGGCTTAGTTCTTTCCACATCTCCCATAACGTTTTCGACAGCTATTTATCTGAAAGGGTTAATTCGGGTGTAAATTGGTTCTGAGAATGACTTGCTATTTTTTTATTTGACACAACTCGAAGCAGAAGACAGCTCTTAAAACTGACAGAAAGCCGAAGCCGAAGTCATCCGTTTCAATGACAAGAGGTCCAAGCCGAATTCGAAGATAGACATAAAGAACGGCTCAGAGCCGAACCCAAAACCCAAGCCGTCAGAGAAATCACTATAGCTTTGTGAGGCTGAAGCCAAAGTTTCGCCCCCAATGCCAGTGTCCATTTCTTGAAATTAATGCTCTCAACTTATCAAAAACCACACCACAGAATATTGGGTTATTTGTCCGCGCTGGGGATCTTTTGTGAAAAATGAGTATCTTAAAATATCAATGAGTCTTTCCAACCCTATCGCTGGAATCTAAATATCGACTCTAGCCGCCAAACTAAAACCAGTCAGAATGCTGGATGCTGTAATGTTATGACTGTCCTTCAGAACCGACCATGTGAGCCCACAATGCACATTGCTCACGGGGGGGGGGGGGGGGCAAGACTTGCGTTTGTGTAATATGGTTGTCTGCTAAGTACCGATCAGTTGGCTAAGTGTGTATATTTTGCAGTACTTTCAATGATTTCATAGAATATGACAACCAGAAACTGACACAAATTCGAGAGATTTATGTGGGGTTGGTGCCTCCTTGATTCAAATTGGCGCCCCTCCTGGAGAGGATCCCCCGATCGAAACTCCTTGAATCGTATGTGTACTCATGGAAAACAAGCAATGTCCAAAGAAGTCTTTGTGTAATAGTGAAGTTTTCCTACTCTTTTTTATATGTCAGCGCCCACTTTTTGGAGAGAGGGGAAAGCAGAGGCCTCACAAAAGAATGCGAATGCACGCCAATGATCGCCAGCGTTTTGCTGTGCTTTGCCGTTTTGTTCGCCTGCGTTGCCATTCATTTGTACCCTGAAGCAACCCATTTTAGTTGAGTCTTGTGACTACCGGTCCCTGGACCAGAAGCCATCCGCATTGCCGTCCTCCACCGTCCTACCCGAATCCCCACCTGGCTATCCTGATTGTCCCCCTTGGAAAATCCATAATCCTTTGTGCTTTGCTTATCGGGCCTGATGCAACAAAAACCATGTTACATTTTTTATGACTCATCGGTTGATCATCGTACCGCATACAATACGAAGAGCAGCAGTTTCGTCCGAATTTGCCGTTACACTGAACGTGCGAGTTCCGTGCTCAACTTGACGCCACCGCCGACAGTAAAGATCGCCATAATCTAAAAAGGCAAGTTCTTAGTAACTATCCGCCATATCACAGCTCTGCGCAGTTTGGATTCTTGATTGCTCACTGCTGTACTGCGAAATGTAGCAGTGCATTAGACCAGAACACTAAGGCGAATTCAAACTGAAAAAGTGCAAGCGCTACAGCATTGCCGTTGCATCATATCTCGATCTGTTCCGGCTATCCGTATTCATTTACTAAATTTCACCATATTCTACAAAAGTCATTCGGCCATTCGGAAAAGTACTCGCACATCTTGCAACGCTTGGGAATGGAAACCCTTGCTGACAGAAGAGAAAAGCTATGCCTAAGGCTAGGAAAACAAATGCAAGCGTCTCCCATGCATAAAGATCTGCTTCCAAAGCAGCGAGTGGCGATTTCCGGCAGAAATACCAGGAGCGCAAGCACACTCCAAACGTTTTGCTGTGGTACGCGACTACGCAAATCAAGTATTCCCGTATAACCACTCTTATAAACACAGATGTATTATCAACTAAGTAGTGTCCTACTTCATATGTATATTGAATATTGTGCGCATGTGCTATATGAGTTGATACTCGAAGCCACGCTTTTCTCAATAAACCGTCTCTCTCTCTCTCTCTCTCTCTCTCTCTCTCTCTCTCTCTCTCTCTCTCTCTCTCTCTCTCTCTCTCTCTCTCTCTCTCTCTCTCTCTCTCTCTCTCTCTCTCTCTCTCTTCTCTCTCTCTCTCTCTCTCTCTCTCTCTCTTCTCTCTCTCTCTCTCTCTCTCTCTCTCTCTCTCTCTCTCTCTCTCCCTCTCTCTCTCTAAAAGCAACAATTGGCAGTCAAGTCAGTGCGCACCGTCCCTGAAGTTATGGTGCAGCTAGCCCCTGGAGCCGGCGCGCTACCGCAGTTCCTCGGCCCGAGGTTTGCAGTGGTTTGCCGGCACCCGAAGCTCGCTTATATTTGGCCTGACAGGTCTGATGGTGACTGGCTTTAGCAGGATCAAACCATAGCGCTAGAAGGCCGGACCGTAACATTGCTCAGTGCGGGGAAATCCCTGCAGGGATCTGCCTGGTTCCAATAAAAGATAAAGCTCGACGTCGAACTGCAAATATACAGCATGCAGTGCGGTTTCCACGCTTGCGCACCATGGTTTGCTCCACACGGCGCAAATACCTACGGCAGATAACGCGCCC